CAACAGGTACTTCAGCAGGCTTCACAATAGCTGAAGGAGTTCATCAAGGGTCGGCTCTCAGCCCACTTTTCTTCATTACAATAATAGATGTATTAGCACATTCTATACCTCAAATGTCCCGTGGAATATGATATTTGCAGTTGATATTGTGATACTTGCCGAATCCAAGGATGAAATGAAAGAAAGATTAGTAAGTTGGATAAATATCCTAGAAAAGCAGGGGCTAAAAGTATATAAAGAAAAAACGGAGTATATGATGATAGGAGATGAAACAGAGAGTATTGATATAAATGAATGGCAGATATCGACAATTAAAAGCTGCAAATAGAGCTCCACTATACAAACAAAGACACAATAGAAAAAGAGATAAAGAGTAAAATTAATCAAGGGTGGTTAAAGTGGAGATCTTTATCTGGAGTGCTATTTGACAAAAGAATCCCACACAAATTAAAGGGAAAAATTTACAGTTCCATAGTACAACCAACTATTCTATATAGTTCGGAAACATGGCCAACTAAAGAATCAGACGAGAGAAGTCTACGGAGATGAGAATGCTGAGGATGATTGCTGGGGTATCAAGAAAGGATAAGGTGCGAAGTACATGAATACTAGGAAGTTTAAAAGAAGTGCCTATTAAGATTAAGATAATGGTGAACAGACTTAGGTGGTATGAGCACACAATGAGAAGGCTGATGAACTACTATATAGGAAATAAGGTTGAGAGTTTGGAAGTGATGGGCAAACATAAAAGAGGAAGGCCAAAACTTCATGGGGCCATAAATTTAGAGCCAATATGAAGAAGTATAAATTAGATAAAAGAGATAGCGTGAATAACATAAAGTGGAGAGAAATATTGAAGGAACTTACCACCAGAAAAGGTGAAAGCTAAAAAGGAAGAAATAATCATATATTTTTATAATTCGTTTTTAAGGGAAGCGTTTGATTATCCAGAACAATGCTCACTGTATTGCAACAATTTTACCTCTTTTTCTTCTAAATTTTAATATTTTTATAAAATTTATTAATAAAATATATTTAGTACCATATACACAAACTAAATAATTACCCTTCAATACCGTCAGCTAGTTATGGTAATAAATGGCAAAATTTTAAAAATATCAGCTATTAATTAATATATATATAATTAATATTTTAAAATTAATTATATTCAAATAAGTGCATGCGTAAAGCATACGTCTTTGAAACGGGAGGTTTATGTTCGACTTTCGTAGATAGCAAAAAATTAACATTACATTATATAATCTCTTTTTAAATACATTAAGGAGATACGAAAACGATCGTGTTTTGATTATGGAGATATATATATTAGATATTACGATAGCAGCGTTCATTTTTTTTATTAAAAAACATATAATAAATAAATCCATCTTCATAATATAATAAATATTATATAAATTATTATGTTTAAAAAAAATTTTAAAAATAAAAATATTATTTAAAAATATATTTGAGGGAACTTGGCAAATGGTACACGAATTCTATATTTTTATTATATTCTTTTAAAATATTTGAATAAATAAATTTTGGCTCATATTAGACTCGAGCCAATTTCTGAGCCGGCTTGAGCCAACTCCTTAACCGGCTTGAGCCAACTTGAGCCTAAGCCAATTTTTCGGCTCTGGCCTCGAGGTCGGAGCCGTAACAACGACTTTTTAACACTACATGAATCGCTTTAATTTTTTTTTAATATTTTGAATTCCCAGGACGTAAATCACTTTTTTTATAATACCATAATTTATCTTGAATTTATAAGATAATTCATCAATTGTTCTGTTTGAATTAAATTGTAATTATATCAAACATTTTTTTTAAAGTTCCTATTCTCATTTTCCTGTTTTTATGCTTGGTTTTCTAGATATTTAATCTTAATAAGAAATTTTTCAACTATCTTTTCCCTTTAAATTGTACTAGAAACATACCATTTCCTTTATTTTTTTTAATAAATAATACCTTCATTAAGTTTCATCTCAGACCTAATATGATTTTCTTTAATCAAATCTAAAATTTAGATATTTCCTTGTAACTTTTTATTTTCTAAAACTTTTGAAGAGAATAGACGAGTTGGAATTTTGGTTATCCTATTTATATCACAATGATCAATAGAATCATCTGAACAATTTGAATTTATATTTCCAAATGATCGACATAATTATTTAACGAGTTCTCTACGATGGACATTATATAAATTGGACAACAAAAACTTTATGGCATTTCATATATTGAAACTTTAAAATAACTATGTTTAAATTTACAAGAATGGCCAAATTTACATCTTTGCGGGTTTGTAAAAAATGTATATAATTGTTTTGTCTGATTATTATAGTTATGGTTCTTGATTTGATTTTTTTTTTGAAATTGGAAAAATTCCATAATAATTGTTTTTGGTTAATGACTAGCAAAACTGATTGATGAATTTATAAATACTAAGTGCTCATCAGGCAATAAATTTTGGCGCAACCCAAATAAATTTCGCACCTAAGGATCAAGGTTTAACTAATGAACTCAATAATCAATAAAGCCTGAGTTCCTTGTCGTGCTTCTTAATAAGACTTCAAGGAAGAGCATAGGACAGACAGCAAGAAAATTTTATTTCCAATAAAAAAAATATAAACCAAATCAAACAATAAACATTTTATAAATTTATTAAGGTTAAAAGATATGCTTCGCGAAATAGTTTTCGGTATATTGTGTTCGCGATATGGGAAAACTTTCGCTGTAATGTATTCGCTTTAAAGGTTTCGTGATAAGGGTATTGCTATAAAAAATTCGTGATAGTCTTCGCTGAATGGTAATCGATGATGAGGATTCGCGATAAAAGTTTCTCTATAAAATCCATTCACGATAAAAGTTTCGCTATAAAATTCATTCACGATAAAATTAAAAAAGTGTTTCGAGATAAAAGTTTCGCTAATTTGACATAGAACCTTTATTGGCTACTTTAGGCTGCTCAGCCCACAGTGTCATTTAAATTTTACAGAAAATGGGTTTGGTGTCTAATAAAATACACTATTTTCCACAATCTAATATAAATCCGAGCCCTTATCTTTGAAGCATAGCCTAAAAAATTTAATTCGATAACATGTATGTCACCCGAATGAAAATAACAACTGACATGAGACGCAAATCAATTAAAGTAAATTTTTTTGGACTAACACGTCTTATTACACAGTAGGTTGTCCACCAAAGAATCAGGATATATATAAAAAATGAAATTATTTTTTATATTGTTATTAAATTATGCATATTAAATTTATCGATCATATGAGAATGCACAATTAGTAATCTATCTTTTGAAATCTAAATTAATAAAAGCCGAATTGTCGTTGCGCCGAGTCGTCGTGGATCACCCCATACATTACCCCATTTTTCTCAAAATTAACTAATTTTACTACTAGTTACCTCAAACACCATAATTTATATTTCATACCTATTATAACTAGAGCCCTGCAAGGTAATTATTTTGGGGCCGAATCAGACTTTAAAGAAATTTCGCTGAGAGCATAAATTTTTTTATTCCAGCCCAATAAAATTATTTTAGAATTTGAGTTTAAATATTATAATATACAAGGAAAAATTAAAAATTATGTGTATTTATTCACAAGTTGCCACCTTAAATAGAAGTATATTTAACCACTAAAAGGGCTATAATTAATTTGGGAAATGGAAATTACGTAAATGAATGAATGACATCCCAACCCGAGTCCAGGCCAGAGAGGGCTCTAATTATTAGAGTTATAGACTATTTCTTGATCCAAAATGGTCGTAAGTAAAATATGGCAAAAATATGCATTTTTAGCTATATCTAAATATATTGGGGGTGGTTTAATTTTATATAAGGTGCTTACCAACAACGCTTATTTATTTCGAAATGTAAGGTTTAATATGGAGTGAGAACTTAACAACCTCTTTCTCATATTGTACTATTGAATACAAGATTCTATATAATATATAATAAACTTATAAAAAATACAACTAGATGTAAGGTAATTGTATTTATTCAAAAAGATCATAATTAATTTCTTAATTTAAATAATTTTTAAAAAAAATAATCATTTAAAAATATATTAATAATGTAGTACCGTATTATACATAAATAAGATTAAATTAGAATTTTGTGTAAATAATTAATAATTTTATATATCCATTATGTTGTCAAACAGTTGTTTATAACCAGAATCTTCTTTAATATAGGTCGTAGGTGGATTTGCATGTTCATTAATATTGGCTGCTTGAGTGGGAGATATCATTCTACTTGAATTTAACATATCTCTGTTTGAGGGCTTATAAACATTTGAAAATAAAAATATTCAAAACCAAAATTCGTAATAAAATAAATAAATCTACATGTCTAATTTAAGCATATGCTAGGATGAGAGCTTTAACTCAAATTGGACAAGGGCTAGAATTATTAGTCTTGTCATTTTATAGAAGAAAAAAAATTGTGAATAAATCTTTTCATATACATTCTAATAATTAGTATTATTGTGGTACAAATGTAAAATATACCCAGTAATTCTGAGGATCAAAAATTTTGTTCTCTCGTGGGATTTCTAGATTTATAAACCAATTTTTTATTTGTACCTTTATCTTCTTATCAGAGTTTAAAATGCTCTTCAAAATAAAAACCGGATTTTAATAAAATTTTATCTACAATTCTAAACCCTTTTAGTAAAAATTTTTTATGATTTTTGTGCATACATGATAAAAAAAATCATAATTATTTTAAACTATAAATAAAAGCTTTAATTTTATGATCTCCATAAAAATTTTGCTTAAAATTTTGGACAAAAAAATCTTTGAAATTTTTTTGATAAACTGTCTAATATCCTTAATTTTGTAGCGAAATTACTAAAATATCAAATCACCTATCAGTGTTACATAAGTTTATTAAGGATTTTGCTAAGTTGCTCTCCAATTTTTATTGAAAAGATTAACTATCTCTTTAGATATGTATTTCTGTGGTTTGGAAGATAGATTTCCATAGCAACTTGTCAAGAAAATTAAATTCCTGCTTTAGGATAAAAAAAAATCAATTAAAATTATGTTGATATTATGCCATTTCATACAGCCTAAGAACTATATATAAGAACTAAATATCAGGATATCATCAATTAACTGATCTCATCAATTCATTTATTATGATAAATAAAATTACACCTTCCAACAAGATAAGCTTCCTATTTTACAGTGAAATCTATAAAAAACCTTATTAAACAATAATATCAATTTGTTGAATTGACAACCATCTTCCCTATATCTCAATCCTAAAAACCTTTGAAGTTCGAATGAGAGCTTAAAAGGCAGGACCTAGAACAAAGGATCTTTAAAAAATAAATATTTTATGATAATTTTATTTTAATAATAAAAAAAATTACAAGATAAATTTTTGATTATAACTATTAAAAATATACATTAAAAATTGTATACCATATTATAAAAAATATAACAATATTTAAAAAAAAACTATTTAGATTAAGTCGGACTTAAAGATCGTGTATATAGATATACAGTTGGATCGGCAAACGATAGATATTCTTCTGTCGCAAGTAAAAACCCTCATTAGGATAACCTGCAATAAAACGTAACCGATGCCATATTGTTATGAATAAGGGCTTAGGATCCAAATGAACCATAGGCGCCTGAAACTACTGAAACGAACAATAGATTACTTAGGTGGCTAAATTATTGGTCTTTTTATTATAATATAATATATTATATCAAATTTTAATATTTTTTGTTGATAAAGAACGGTATTTTACAATTAGAATATTATATTTTTATAGCCATTTTTTACATACGTATATTTATGATAGTGGCGGAAACTATCGATTTTACATTTTAGGTTTTACAATCATTGAAACCATCCCTAAACATTCTCAAAATATTTATTCTAGCCTATTTTAACTAAAATTATAAAGGTTCTGAGATGAGTATTATAAAAATTATCACTTTTCTGATAGTTTTTTTTACAAATAATATTTTGAAGGTCAATTTATAAAATAAGATTTGCTCAAGAAGATTTTTTGGAGCTATAATCAAAAATGATTTCATCACAAAAATTTTTATTTTATCTTAAAAATCCCAAAAGATCTGTTCACAATAACAGAAATTTTTTACAAAAAGATTTTCAATTTTGTTGATCTTCAAAGAGTAAAATCTTGGAAGATTTTTGAGGAAATGGTATGACAATACATGGCATAAAGTTAGGTCATTTTTCAAGCTTTGATCCTTGATATCTCCAAAAATATGAGAGCTAAAATGCCAAAAATTTAACACCACTTTAGTAACAAGCACTTATATATAAAATTTCACAAAATCACAAGCGGTGGAGGGGACCGTGATCGATTGAAAATTGGATCACCCAGGATTCTGCGAATGCCCATATGTGGCATCGGAAGAGGTTAGAACATAGAATTTTTAACGTCTAAAATTGACGAAATTCAATGTCATCTTCCAGCAAAATTGAAATAAATATTTCCCAATTTTTTTATAAAAAGTATATTTTAAATTATTTCAACTAAAAAAATAATGTGTGAAAATCATTAAATAAACAGTAACTATTGCAGTTAAGTGACGTTGACCAGTTAAGAGCCAAAGTGAGATAAGTTTTCATGTATATTATTTATGTATAAAACTTGAGGAGTCATAAGAAGCTGTCTTAACTGTTGCTGATTGTTTTCTGCGTATGTATTGTTGATTTTACTGTTTGAAGGATTAGAGTTTGGATTTGGATAATTAAACAGATTAGTTTGTTTCTAAAAAATTACATAGAGTAACTATAAAAAATATTATATTACATTCATATTTTGTTGCAAATTTGGGTCCAAATTATTAGTGTTTTGAGTGATTTGTTTATAAGATTGTATAGGATTGACATTTAAATTATTTTGACCATTAGAAAACTGATTGGAGATCATAGATGGATTATTATAATGTGTATTCATCGTGGGTATTTGATTATAGTTTTTTTCAGTGTTTGGATAAAATAGGGATGGATTATAGTCGCTATTATATTTCGATTGATTCTGGTGAAATGCTTCATAATTTTATTATAATATATTGTCAGTTTTAATAATGTCATCATATTCAAAAAAATTCTCGAAACTGCTGTTAAGAATTACTCAAATTTTAATAAGTGGCATACCTTAGCTATATATAGCAGAACCTCCACATAATGATCATTCAAATGTGGTTCTTTATTGGTTACTTTATAAGTTATCAAACTAGAGAATTTTTTTAAAATGAATAGTTAATTAATGAAAAGGTGTTTATTTCATATTCTTTTATAGAATTTAAAAAAGAAATATAATCATAATATAGAATACAAATATTTTACATCCAATTTTAAGTAAGTATCAAATGTTTGTGATTTTATTAATTTGTATATTATCAATGACATTTATTTTAAAAAAATCTATGTGTAATTGTAGCCAAATTTCAAGGCATCTTTCTACTGCAAATGACTATTTTTCAAAATTTTTATAAAATATCTTCCTTTTTTGAAGTGGTGCAGGTTCGATTTCACTTTCGGAATCACTATCAGAACTCAAGATTTACAAAATTTTCTTTTAAATTTTTATACTGATCTTCCAATCCATTAGCAAAAAAAAATTTTTTAAACTTGGTTCTTCACATCTGCAATTATTATCCATTTATGAATTGAGTTGAATTTTTTAATAATATTAATCTCTGAAATATCTATCGTGTTTTCTTAAAATATCCAATAATTGTATCCTATTTTACTTTATCCCACTCTAAACTTATCCAAAAAACCAATATAAAAATTGAGCTACTACAAAGTTTACTAAATTAATATTTAAAAGGTTTTTGATAAAATGAGCAGGACAATTATCAATAAATGAGTTTGCTATGGTCACATTGTGTAGATCATATTTGGTAGTCAAAATAGAGAGGTGGTTAATATAAAAAAGAATACAATTTCAAAAGACCGAAGTAAAACGGTCACTATAAAGAGATAGTTATTAAGAGGTTTTACTAAAAAGAATATAAAAATGATGTATGGCAGAGAAAAGGAATAATGAGTGCTAATTGAGAAAAGTGTTTTTTTTACTTTAGAAAGGGGAATTAGCAAGTAGTAAAGCCACTGATTATAAGGTATGAGGAGGTAATCATAAAATAGCCAAAAATGTAAAGGAAAACGAATATAACTATTGGGAGATGGCCTGAAGGTATCCTGAATTCCGACGCTAGCTTGATTAATATTTCCGTATTCGGTGATGCCTTGGTTGGTAATTGGGGAACTTGTGATTGTCATGATCTGATTTTGTTGCTTCATTTGGGACTGCAAGTGCATTTGCCGCTTTTGAGACAGTATTTTTCGGATGCTATTAACAAACTCGACTTGATCTAAGGGAATAAGGCCTATAAAAGATTTTTTCTTTAGGCTGTACAACAGTATCATGACCCTTAAATCAATGACAGTGTTTGGGAACATAATGCAACCTGCCTTTAATTGATAATATTAAAAATAAAACAATATTAGCCAAATGCAAGATAAAAGTTTAATAATGATAATTTTAATTAATAAAAAATGCAACTAACTTAAACAATGAATAGTTTTTTTATTGGTAAAGTAAGAAAAGGGAATAGTTTATCTTATATTTTTGAGTTTAACGCTATCAATATAGGGTCATTCCATGACATATCGTTCAAAAAATGTTATTTTCGAACATCATACTTGAAAGTAAGGGTGTACCAATACCACTTTTTGGAGGCCGATCCGATATTCCAGATATTAAATTGATATCGGCCAATTACCGATCCGATATCATCTAATTTTGTATTCTGTAAAGATACCAATGGTTTTAATTTTTAATATATTTCTTATAGTATAACATCTATAATTTAACTATACCATAACATATGTCATTTAAATATATTATAATGATCAGTTATCGTTTATATTCAATTTAATTGCAATTCTAAATGTATATAAAACATTTTATTGATAAATCACTTATTTACATAATAAGTAATAACATTAAGCTATTTACATAATTAGTAATAAACAAATATATATGAAATTTGAAATAAATATTTAAAATTAATATATCGATATTTCTTTTTAGAAATACCAAAATTTCCAATTTATCAGAGATCAGTCTGCGGTGATGGGGACTATCAATATCACTTGCATCATTAAAAACAGATTCTGAAGAGATTATTGTACACATTTATAAACAGAATGCGAAAAAAAATAACAATATGGCAGAATGTTTATTAATTAATATTATTATTAAAAAAATTAAACACAAAAATGGATTTCGATTTTATTTATAAAAATAAATGGTTTTTAGATATAACTTTTTTTTTTAATTTTATAATATATTATTTTTTTAAAACGCCATTTTTTATCGGATAGGAAAATTTTATAATATTTGCTGATAACCGATATTTTAAAATGGATGAAATATCGGCCCGATCCGATATAAAATATCGGTACACTACTTGAAAGCGAATAAAATTGTAAAGTGGGTTGTATAACCAAAATTTTAGAAAGTAAGCGCGATCTTGTTTTAACAAATCTCATAAATTTTAAAATATTTCTGGTGTCAAATAATATATCATTTTTGTAGCCGATGATTGTTTTTAATTAAAAGATCATGTATTTTTTATTATCGGCTTTTCATTTAAAATTTCGAAAACATATGTGATTTTTGTTTTCATAATAAATATATATTAGAGACCTGATGAGATACCATTTATAAGGCTTAGCCCGGGTTTTTTAAAAAAAAACTTCGAGGCCTGGATTTTTTAATAAAAATTTTATTCGGCCCGGGTTTATGTTTTCAGGATCGACTCGTATTTTTAATAAAATAAAATTTCTGGCCCGGCCCGGATTATTTTTAATATATTATATTTATTTTTACTTTTATGGTGATTTAAAATAATTGGTTTTAAAATATACGGCCTGGTAAGGGTCAGAGTTGTTAAACGCTATTTTTAAAAGTAGCGCGCTACCGCTATAGCTATTTGTCAAAAAAAGTAGCGCGCTACCGCTTTCGCTATTTGTCAAAAAAAGTAGCGCGCTATTAGCTACTTTTTATAAAAAAAATTTTAGAAACAAATGAAACAAATTTTTTTTATTTATTTTTGCTTATAATGTAAATGTATAATAAATAATATATAAAAATCAACATTTATAAATATAAAAATATAGTTAGTTTAGATTATAAAAAAATAAGCAATATAAATAAATATTTATTTTATTTTGTTGCATTTTAATAATAATATTATTTCAATATTATCATCCCCAAGTCTAGAGCGACGATCAGTAAGCTTTGCTTTGCTAAAGCATATAAATAAGTTTTTACCTTCTGTTAAGTGTCCAACTATCTGCCGGTGTACATAAGATATATCTGATAACTCTACTATTAGAGCATCTTTCATCACTTTGAAGTTGTCGGCTATTTTATTCATAAGTGTCTGGCGACATAAAACTGTTGTGCCAGGGGATAAAGTTTTAATCATCATAGTAAATGATGGATTATCAACCGACAATGGCTGAACTGTGTCAATAATAAAATCAACAATTACTTTATCAGCCAATTTTTGTGAAATATTGGCATGTTTATTATCAGTTAATTTGGTTTGGATAGTATTTGTCTTTTTGAATGAAGATTCTCTTATACCAAAATTTTATATGTTTCTCTATTTCCTTATAGCAATTGGCGTGAACAGTCTAATAAAATAAATAATATTATAATGTAAAAATAACAATTTACCTTTAGGTGTTTCTTCAGGTTATAGCTACTCGATTGATTTGATGATATATTTTTTTTACATTTTAAGCACAGGAATTTGAATCCAGATTTTGTTTTAATATTTATTTTAAAAAATTTTTCAAATCTAGGGAATGGGAAATCGTTATTAGAGCTATTAAGTACATTTTCTTCCATTGAATCTTCCATGTCTGAATCACTTTCAAGGATTTGGATATCCATGGGCGATGCCATTTTAGATTATTAACACAGATTGAAAATATAAATTAAAAATATATTTAAATTTCAAAATTAAATAATAAATTATAAAAATTATAATTAATTATGATATTATATTTAAATTTTCATGTTTATACTTACATTCATTATATTTTTTAAAAGTAGCGAAGTAGCGCGCTAAAAAATTAAATAATTAAAAAAAAAAGTAGCGGCTATTAGCTATAGCTACCAAAAAAGATAGCGCGCTACTAGCGCGCTACTTTAACAACTCTGGTAAGGGTATTTTTTAGGGTTTATAAAAAATTAAAATACAACCCGACCCGGGCACATATATTGTGGCATCCCCCTCTTGTTTACTTTTGAATTTATATCTTATCATAAAAAATGGCCACTTCGAAATAATGTTTTTTGATTAAATCCATTGTATTTCAAAAAATAGCAAACAAAAACGAAAAATCGGAAACATTTTTGTTCCTTTTTTTTATCTTGAAATTAATTTCAAAACTTATAATTTATCTTAATTTGATGCGCGATCTACATTATTCTCACGGATATGTATGTCAGCTATTATAATTTGTCTTGATTTTGATTGAAATTATTTTTTATCCTAATAAAATGACTTACACTTTACGTATGCACCCCAAAATCAACCCTAACTGGTTGTGCGGTTTTCGTAGAAAGTCGTCCTTAATTAAAAACCAGATAAAACCAACCCTAACAGGGTCTGCGACTTTCGTCATAAGTCGTCCATAGAATATTTCGTTTAATTAGTTTTTTAGATTCTTGGCCAATGACTATACCCCGATGATCAAGCCATCGACAGTAGTCCATACCTTCTCCGTTCCATTGTTCATAGGGTCTGCGTGCCTGACCCCGAATACCTCAATGTAAATCATATAATATAAAATTTAATGCTTCATTACTTAAATTGAAATGGTGTGGTCAATATGAAAAAAATAAAATAACAAAAATATTTCTTTATTAAATGTATACAATTATAATAATATTACACCGTAATTAATATGTAAAAATAATCAATAGTAGTTTTTAAAATGAAAATATACTTAATGCCTTTAATAAAAATTGCAACAGAATGCAAATACAATGCATCCCATAAAATAAACTCTTATATCGACAAAATGGAGTATAAATAACTTAAAAATAAGATTTTATTTTATGTTTCAGTAGGGAAGCCCCCCAAAAAAACAGGACTCATTGACATTTTTATTTTTGGATGTAAAATTTTATTGAATTATGTACACCATTTATTTTTATTGAAAAACAACAATAAATTATTAGCGTTATCTATAAAGCATTTATTTATTTTAAACCAGGGACCCTGAACAAGGGCATTAAAGGAGAATAAAAAAATAAAGCTTGTTTAAAAATTGATTCTGCTAAACGATTAGATCGAAGCATTCTGGGAATAACTATTCAGTATGTTCGAGATAATATTATCGTATTAAGAAATTTGGAGATGAAAGAAATAGCTATAGGAGATGATATGATTTTAGAAACCCTAAATAAATTTGGCATTACATACATTAAACAACCTATACACTATAACAATCAATAATGGTACAGATTTAATCAAGTCTAATAGATTATTAAATGAATCTGTGGAAGGGGAGAATTTCGATGAAGACAATATAAATGATGATATAATAAAGCAGATCTGGGCCAGATATTGAAAGATTCTCCATAAGTTTATAGCATTAGATGTGTAGCACATACACTAGCCATTTTTTAAAGACAAGTTATGCAAAATCGAGTATTGACCGAGCAAGGCAAGTGATAAAATTTTCAAGAAGTCCAACGATCCTTAGAATCTTGAAATCACTGAAAAAACCTATGGCAACAATTGATTGTACAAGATTGTATAATCGGTTTACGATATACTGGATCGATTGTTTAATTTGAAAGATTTTTGTATGGACTTACAACATAGGAAATTATTCTTGAGGAAACAGAATGGGATTCAATTGTTAACATAAGTGTAATTTTGAAACCACTTAAGATGACAACCTTGAGGGTGCAATCGGAGCTCCTATTTTTATGGCATTTGGGTAAAATGCCGTTTAGAATTGGAAAAAATGGATACTTATTTAAATAATATTCTATATGCATCACTATATTTAGACCCCAGATATCAAATCCTATTAACCATTGATCAGGAAGAGGTTGCTAGAGCTCAATAAACGGAATTATGAGAAAAATCATTAAATTATAAATTATTGATCAGCATTAATTTCAGCTACAAATGATCTTGATAATGATTTTGAAGAATTGTTATTAGAAAAAGAAAAAAAATTAAATTAACACAGCATCATAGGCAACAGATTCCAATTAGCTCATTATTAGAAATTTTTCACACATTAAAATTTTTTAATAAGGATGCAAAATTATACACGTTGGCGAAAATTGTTCTAGGTGTCCCAGCAATACAATACATTATATATATTATATTAAACTTTTATAATTACTAGGTTAGCGTTGACCGATCATT